AACGCTTTGGCTCCAGAACCTTGTCCTGTTCTGCTGATTGAACATCCCAACCTGAAATATGCAACAACTCGGTCTGTGGCAAAGCATCCTGTTGGTAAATATCAAATCTAAAGGCTCTTTCAACCCAGCAGAAATTATTTTGAAATATGGCTCTTTTCAGATGTGTTTGCTGCCTTATGCTCTGAGTACCAGGAGCTGTTTGACAATACATGTGCCAAAACGAATATATGTGATTACCCATTCTTGTGAAGAGCTCCGATTTACACAGAGTTTGGGGCTTACATAACACAGAAATCCTTAAACTCAATTAACCCACTGTTTGCAGAAAATATTTATAATATATGACAAAGAATCGCTTGCCTTAAAAACCCACATAATTCTGTGCCTTACAATCCCTCTCAAACATTAAATACTGACCCACCAGACATTTCTTTTCGCTGTGCAATGTAAGCAGGTGATGTGTGATGGTGACTTTAAGTGACATTAATGATCTCCCTCATCTCCACACAGGTGTCGAGGTGGGGCCCCAGCCACAAGGTGTTGCTAGAGCTGATGTTTTGGACAAAATGAGGAAGATTGTCAAACATGGCCTTGATTTTGTGCAACTTTTTAATGAAGGTAATGAGAGGTTACAGCATCCTGTGTCGTGTCAGTGGACTATTTTAGGAGAATATTTAAAAAAATGGGCTGGGCTATAATATTTTACAGTTAGACAGGTGAAAACTGGGGGGAGAATTAAAAAAAAATTAAGTCAGACCTATGCACTGTTTCAAATACACTGACAAAATATGTTTTTAATTATTTCAGAGTATATTTTGTCAGTGGGTTGGGTTTTTTAAATAGAAAGAAAATAATACAGTTATGCATGTCAGAATTTCCATTATTGTGCTGGAATAGTAAAGATTAAATACCACTCTGTGCTGTGCAACACTAGCAAACAGACCTTTCATTGATTTTTTCATCTACAAAATAGGTGTCTAAGTGAAAAGTAACATTTCAGTAGCAAATTTAGACTTGAACTTCATATGCCCCAATGCATGATTGGATCATCTTTATCCAGCTTGGCTTTGAGGGGACAACCTGATGATTTGAGCCATTCTGCAGAGAATAAATAATGCAGTGTTCTTTTTAAGAGGCAGTTTTTCATCTTGACATTAAATTACATTTATTCTTTCTAGGTAAGGAGTTTCCACCATGCACAATTGAGGTTTTTAAAATAATGGAGAAAGTAGATTATCCCAGGAACAAGAATGGTGAAATTATTGCAATAATTCATCCTAAACTACAGGTAGGTAAATTCTAAAATAGTTTCCTTTTATGAAATTGTCTACTTATTCCTGTGTTGCTTCTGCTATATTGTTGTATATTTCAGTAATAAATATTTCAAGTGGCAATATTGCCAATGGGTTTTATTAAATACTTTAGACCTCCCCTAGGGTTAAGTTCTCTTACTAAGGTCATACATTCATTATTTCAGGACCTGTCTTGGGAATCACTGAATCTAAAATCACTGCAAAGTAAAAGACAATAGGATTTTTTATATGTTAAAATATAAACCTAATTTTTAATTCTAAAATAAGCATCTGTTTTCAATCAATTTTGAGCATCTGCAGTTTCCTTCTAGTTCACTTAACTAGTGAATTCTGAAAACGAGGGCCAGACACACAAAATTATGTATTAAGATTAAAAAATTATTTTAATAGCTTCAGCCATAAACTGCAGAAATTAGCATAATTAGCATTAACTCAAGAATCACATAAAATATACAAAAACCTGAAAGTAAACATATTCTATTTATTTTCTTTCCCTAAGGATCAAGACTGGCAGCCAGTGAAGAATGGTGATCCTCTATTTTTGACTCTTGATGGAGAAGTAATTCCATATCAGGGGAACTGTACAGTCTATCCAACATTTATTAATGAAGCTGCATATTATGAAAAGAAACAAGCTTTTGTAAAAACAGAGAAAATCAAACTCACTGCAAAACACCTCAGGTTGCCAGTCTCAGAGCAGAGCATTTCTTAGGAGCTTGTTACAGATTTTTCCTATAAAATGTGGGTTTCTTTGTGAAGTCCAAGGGTCATTCAGTAGTAAATTATGGGATAAATAAACCCAGAATCTAATTTTAAATTGTAATTTAATTAACCTTGCTGAGCACTTTGAGGTCTATTGTCATAATGCTGATTATGACTGTGTTTATTGTTCTAATAGACTCCTACAGATGCAAAGAATTTATAAATATTTTTATGAAGTTTTTATGAAGAAGCTCATGCACAGTACTACATTACATACAAAATTTACAGCTTTTCTACTTCATAACCCCAAACCTCAATAACCAACACTTTTTACAATGGGTTGATCCTTGAAATTAATTGCTCAGTTAAACACACAAAATGTGAGACAAAGGAAAAGCTGGGCACAGAGAAACAGGGGGAGGGTGTGTATAACAAATGATATTATCTGCATATGTAACTGACCCCCACTGTGCTGAAGTGGAAGCCTTGGGTTTTATTTACTTTTCATACTTAAAAACACAAAAACAAGCTAAAGACATGATTTCAGAGAAACACACTCTAAAAAGCTTTACATTTCATTTTAGTGTATTTCACAATTAATTCAAGCTGCTTCTGATTTAAGGCAAGATTTAGGCAGTTATTCTGGTTTTGATAAAGAGCCGTGCACAAACCATACCTGAGCATTCCAGAATGGTAATTAAGAAGAATTCCATATGGGGAGACTTGTTCTGTATCTGTAGAGACAAAGCCTGTCATAGCATCTTAAAAAGAGGGAAAAAAATGGGGGTTGAATTAATTTTCTAAACTTGTTTTTTACATATTTAACAAGTTGGTGATAAATATTAAGAGCTTTGCATAAGGATACATTAATTATTTACTGAAAGATTAAATGTCCAGGTAACTCTCATATTCTACCTTTGAAAAGTGATGTTATTCTCATTTAGTACTAAATTTAAAGTATTTTTCCTTGCCTTTGTGTAACTCCTATGGCAATAAAATAAGAAAACAGGGCAGAATGTTCATTGAATGACCAGTTTTATTTCCTTAATTTAAATAAACATGGTATAAAAAGCACAGAATTACCTGCTCTAGTCATTATTCAGAGTGTCCTTGGTGAGAGCCTGGAGGCAGCACATGGTTCACATGAGGTGGCCGAGTTCTGTGGCCACACAAGGAAGGCATTTCCTCAGTGAGAGCTTTTAAAACAGCCCCCAGAGCTCATTCCTGAGTTCACCTACATGGTTTTGTGCCCGGGCAGTGGCACAGCACATTCCTGTAGGGCTTTTTGTGCCTTCCCTGTTTCACAGCCCAGAGTGGCTCAGCACAGTGCAGAGGTCTCTGTGTTTCCAGCAGCCTCACGGCCCAGCCTGGTCCCTGAGTGTGTGTGAAGCGGTGTTTTTTTCCCCTTTGTATAAAAACTGGCACTGAAAGGATCCAAGCAGACCTGCACAGTCCTGAGGCAACATCCTTCCTTGACAGCTTTAGTGCAAAATTCACCAGCAAAGATCAAAGATTCTGAGACCACAGGGATTTTCCTTCTCATGCTCACATCTGCTGAGAAAGCCAGAGTGCTCAGGTGTGATGTGGTCTGTGGGTACACAAATGTCCTTCCCCTCCAATTCCTGTGTCCTGCCTGAAGTTTCCTGTGGATCCCATCCATCCAGGCTATGGCTGAAAGCTCAGGACTCAAGATCTGTTGGAGGCAGGAGGACCCAGGCTCACCATCCCTGTAAATATCTTTGCATTATCTTTCCCACTGCAGGGTTCCCTCACGTTCTCTTCTGTCTTAAGAAAGTCTTTTGGATCATTTTTCCCACAGCTGCAAAATCCAATGTGATTCTTATTATCATTCAAACACAGAACTGAGTTCCCCTGAGTCTCACCTAAAATAGCACCTTTAAAACAGGCACCACATGAATAATTCTGATGAAAAGCCAAGACACTGGAGACACATGTTAATTGAAATTTAAAAGTACACAGGACAAATGTTTCTCCTGATATATACATACATAAAACAGAAAATTAAAAATATAATTCATAGTACTTGGTCATCACAGGTAATAAGATCTACAGAAATGCATTACAGAGTCCTCTGAATAAAAAATAAAGTCTGGAATTGCATTGCATTGAACTAATTTTGTTCACCTTGGGAAGAAATACTGACTTCTGAATTTTCTGAAGTGGTTGAATGCAAAAATTATTTCAGAAGAACTTCCATTGTGGTAACTTTTTATGTAGGAAGATGCAGCAGCATGGAAAAGCCAAGGAGGAAAAGTAATGTTGTGACTGGAGCAAATATCCTCCATCAGGAATTATGTTTCTCCCCTGTTATTTCATGGGGAGGCACAGACACAGTAATAAATAAACAGCAATAAACTCCAATTACACCCTGGGGACTGCACAGAGGAAAACAGACCAGACAAAGCCACGGGGACCTGAGGAGGCTTTTCCCAACTTTTGGGACCAAGCCTCCAGTAACACTGACAGTCAATGTAAAAGCTGCAAATGTACCCAGAACCTTGTTATTTCAAAATAACATACTTCATTTAGTCATCTTCAGAACTGAAATGCTTTGCTTTTCTCCACAAAAAGAACTTACTTTTTTCAGTATACAAAATGAGTTTGTCATGAGTTAGAGATTCCAAAAACCAGCAGATTGGTATCACAATGACCTTAATTTTCCACAAATGGAAGAAACATCTCACATTTGACCTTTTTTATCCAGTTAAACATCTTGAGCCAAGTTTGAGGAGTGTCAGGCAAACTTGGACAGCAACAGTTTGAGAGGCTCAGAATGGGCCCAGTGAAATAATCCCATTTATTTCAGCTCAGCTGCTCTGCATAAATGGGTTCAAGCCATCAGACTGTGTCACTGAAAGTTTGCGTTCCAGCTGGCTACAGCTGTCCAAAACAGCCACAAAGCTTTCAGCATGCACTGTTGATGCTTTTAACCTTCAGAAGAGTCACATGTCAAGCACAGCACAACTAAACAGAAGTTTCTGGCAAGTCATCCATTTCTTCAAATGTATTCAGGGTGTTTTTGCTATTAGTTCTTGAATTATCTTGAATTTTGCTTGGATCTGTAAAAAAATGCATTGTAAACAAAGCAGGATATGGTAGAAACTGTATAGGCAAGATCAGAGTTTTGCATCTTTTTTTTTGTTTTTGTTAAAACCATGTATTTATTTAAAGAGCAAGCTCCCAGTTTGCTACCATATCTTCTACAGGAATTTTTCACTCCAGAGGCAGCTCATTTCTCCAGGACACTCCTGCCCTGGCAGCAGATGGATGTCTTGGATTTCCTGGCTAACATTTATGTCATCCAATATATGTGTATATTACAAAACTTGTTTGTCACCAACCCTCTCTCCAAGCCTTTAAAAGTAATTTAACACCACTGCTATCTCAACCATTAGTTTCTCTGGCAATAATGTGTGGTTTAATATAAGAGTTTATATTTTTAAAGGTATAAAACTGTATCAGAAAACATTTCTAAGAAGGAAAGATCCTGCAAATAGAGTGTCAAAATTCCACAGTACCTGTTGGCCCTGGATCTTCATTAATAAATGAAACATGGGTTTTCCACTCAGTCCATTTCACTTCATTAATCCTGTTTACATTGTATATAAATTGTGTTATCACCATGCATTATCCCCCAGCTCCATCAGCTTCCCCCCTTTATTCCTTCCTGGGATTGTCACACATTGCCACCTGCTTTGCTGGCACTAAAAGCCTGAATGTCTTTTGCACTGTCAGGCAGTATATGAAAGTGAGAATAATATGAAGACTACTTCATAATTTCACACATAGTTAGTACAGTCTTGGAATATTTAAGTATTTGTCACTAAACCACACAGTTCTTTAATATGGTAATCATCAATTACCAATCAATTTAACTGTGATTGCTTTTAAGCTGACATTCAAAGAAGATTATGATAAAGTGACATTTACTGCAAGCAGATCTGATGCTTCTACAGTAAAAAAATATGAAGATGAAGATCTGCTTTCTTAACAAAAGATTACCTACATAAAAATTTATGTATTTTCCCTATTTAAACATTAAATTGGTTACAACTGAAAAAAAACCTTAATTATATTTTTGTGCATCTATCATAATTTGTAGAGATAGTAGAACTATTTTAAAGAGGGTTTTGAGGAGAAATAACCCTGAAGCAGCATAAAGAGAGCAGAATTGATAGCACATTATTCCAGCTTTGCTTTACCTTAAACACACCCTGGTGTCATTTTCAGCCACTTTGCACCGTTCTCCCAGCTGGAATTTTTTCCTCAGGCATTTTGGTAAGAATTTTTCAAATTCCAAAATAGTCCTGGCTCTCTATTGGCAGTAAATAGTAAAATGAGTATGGTTAGCCTCGGTCTGATTTCACAGCATGCACAGTTTGCAGTTTATAACAGCTCAAGCCTCCACCCACAGCCAACACCAAAACCAGAAAATCACTAACAATTTGTGCAGATTGGGATTCAGATTCCTGGAAAAGCAGTGAAACACATCATCCTGTGACTTATCCAGGGGAATGAAAGTTATGACAGTGCATGGGTTGGAAATCCAAGTCATGACATCACCTTTGGGATTGCTAATTCCAAAGTTAATACAATTCTCTAATACTAGAATTACTTATTTCCATTATTCACACACAAAACCAAATGACAATTATCTTTAACATTTTTAACTTCTTGTATCAGCATGAGGGCTTTAGTCCAAGCATCCCCCAAACAAACCTGGAGTTTCCAGATGTGCTCGCTCTCCTTAGAAATATCCTCCACAGTTTCTCCCATTAAAGCAATCAGCATGTTCAAGAGAAGAACAAAAGTCAGCACAACGAAAGTTATGAGGAGCAGGAGAAACAGAACAGGGTACTTGGAATTCTGCTGGATCTCCAGGTCACCCAGTCCTAGGGTGAGCTTGAAAAGATCCATCAGGACAGGTCCCAGGCTGCTGTTGGAACGGCATTCCCCACCCTCCTGGCACGTCTCAATCAGGGCAGCAAGAGCTGAGGAGAAAGCACAAGGAAATTTCAGTCACAGTCATTATTTGGGAATATGGGACATTTTATCCCAAAGAATCCAAACTGCTTAAGAGAGCCAGAGCTGCCCAGCCACACAGCAGCCAGGTGACACTTCCAGGAAGCAGAAGGAGCCCACATCCAAATGAAATTCCAGGAATTTGAGACCAAGGAAAATGAATCATCTGTTCACATCTAAACTTAGCATCCAGAATAAAACCCAACCTGAGCTCTCATGAAAACAGGGTTCTTATTCGTAATAATGCTAAAATTTTTACTCACACAGAGCATCAGTGCTTTTCTCCAGTAATATTTACCTACGCCAAATCCCAGCAAAAACACGATATAGACAACTAAAAACTTTATCACATCTTGCAGGATGACCTGAAAATTGAATGAAATAGTTGACAAATGTTAAAATTCAGAACTAGTTTTGTGCTTTTGAATTCTGCAGGGATACTGGTGAGGCACACAGTGAAGCCTCAGACTGCTCTCCTTGAGCAAACAAACTCAAAGGCCTGATTTTTTTTATCTCAGGCCTGGTGTGTTCTCTGAAAGTGACTAATTCTGTACAATACAGACATTACAGATTATGATGCAATTAAATTGCAGAACTACTTTAGCTAGGATAAACAAAAGCTACTCAAATATTTAATGTTATAAAAATGTCAATATTAAGCTACAAACTAGTTCCTGCTGTTGAAGAAGAACAAATAGTATGCTCTGGTGAAATAATGCATAAAAACTGGAAATAAGACATTTCAAAATGAACTATAAAATACATATAATTGCTGAATATACTTGACTTGGATTGTAGGACAATGGAGTATCATCAGGCAGGTAAAAGAAAAGAGAAACTTGCCTTTTGAATCATCACACTGTAAATTCCCATGGACTGGAATCCTCTGGTGAAATAGAGCATATTGGCCCAGCCAAGGGCCATTGCCAAAACAAGACACACCAGGTGTTCTTTGTAGGAAAACAAGTACAAAAAGACAGAGAAGATCACAAGCAAAGCTTGTATAAAACTGTTAAAAAACAAACATATATGTAAAAGAGAAATTACTAGCACAAAACCAACAACAGAATGGAAAAACACAAAAACAAGATTTCTTTGCTCTCTAGGATTAATTTGTAATTTCATTCTGCTTTTTTATTCTTCCCATGAAATTGGCATTATAGTTTAATGATAAAATAGGTTGGTGCAAGTGATATAAGTACATTAACAAATAAAGATTATGTTTATTAAAGTATAATTTAGGTAAACTATTCACCCCAAAACAGCTGCTCAATGCAGATTTTGCCGACAGCGACATTAAGAATCCTTACAATATTCTTAGTAACCATGTAATTGAAGCTTTAGCTTAATGAATTGAGAGAATCATTACAGATTTTCCACAAACAGGGAAGACACTGGCAGGTGGGAAAAACCCACTCCATGCACATCAACCCTAGTGTTGTTAGTGACAGTGCAACCAATAAAAGCTGCAGGTAAACTTACATCCATCCCTCTAAAACTGATAATTTTGAGGAATAAAAGTGATAGCTGCTATATATCTGCTACAGGAACACATTCTCTGTGACCATGAGATAGAGAATTTTATATATAATAGAAAAAAAAAAGAAAAATATATATATACACACACATGAGACTTACAATGCAAAGTGGAACCAGGCATCAGAGAGAATTGACTGCAGGTCTGAGGGCCTGAGCAGGAAGATGGCCACACTCTATGTAGGCAGAAACAGAAAATACAGGCATGGTAGAAGAGAAAACAGACCTCAAAATCTGTTTTTCAAAATAATTTAACTGATGTTCTAAACTAACCTATCTACTGATAAGACATGGTAAATTCTAGAATTTTTTTTATAAAGCTGTAAATTCAAAGGTTAAAATTCTGTCATTTCTAACAGTTTAAAAGTTATTACTTTTAATTACTTACAGTGCATGGCAAAAGTTATATCATGGGATTTTTTTTTCATTACAACTTGCAATTCTTTTGTCCTTAAAGCCAATAATTTGACAAAACTGGTATTGTACAAATATCAGAACTCTGCATTGACAATTTGGAAAGCAAATATCCTTATATTTGTTTCACAGTTGTACTCAAATACATAACCAGGGTCATTCTGAGTAAGTGATTGTGCCAAAGATTTGAAAATTACACATATCAAAGATACTCCATGTGTATTTCTGATAGCAGCAGAAGCATTTCATAAATTCAGAGAACTTCTTTACAATTTAGCTGTATACTTGTTACTAAAAAAAAATAATTTACCTCTTTTATGGCTAAAAATATTGCTCCTAACATAACCATCACCTGTCCTGACAACTGCAGCCACCCCACTCCTTGGGTCAGAGCCAGTGGATAAGGAGGAGCCTGCAAGACAAATCCAGAAGGAAAATCTCAGTTCCATCCCTGAAGGGTAAAAGACAAAGCAACAGAAACCCTCACACCTGTAAACTCTCTGGTTTCACAATTTCTTCCCTTCCAGGGAGAATTTTCTTGATGTATTTACACAACCGGCCCCTTAACAGAGGTGACTGAAATATCAGAAATTCCTTTCTTAAAGGAAAAACAAAATATCCTCTTCTCACCTTTAGAAATTTCAGTCTTTGTATCATGTATTTGTATTTTAGGTCATTTCCACAAAATACATATCTGATGCTCCCACACTGATGTGGGAGAACGTGGTCTCTCTATACCCAGATATTCCAATATCTGATCTTGTTTTAGCATTTTTAGTACAATTCAGGAAATACTATTGCCTTTTAAGTCAGAAAAATTTGGTGAGATTCAGCTGCTGTACTCACTTTGTTTTCATTAGGCCTGTGGTAGGAAACCAGTGTTAATGTTACATTGTACAAGAAATAAAAACAGCAGGACATGAAAAACATGTGCCGTGCAAACTTCTTCCATTTCATCCTCAGAAGTGAGTTCAGGGGCTCCAAAGTCAGCATTTCATGGCGATTCTGAGGAAGAAAAAAAAATAAAATTTAAATATTTCAGCTTGCTGCCTATAAGGAAACAGAATTTAAGGTGTGAATTTTGTGTATTTCATTCCACATTATCCTTTCTGCTCTAGAAACACCTCTGTGCTCAGGGATGTGCCAGACCACCCTGAGACAGGACAAAGGGACAATTCTTCCTCCTGCTGGGATAAGCTGCCATTCCCAGACAGGTGAATTATGGCTGAGCTAAAACTCCTGTGAACCCCTGGTTCTTCTACCTGTGGAAATTTTGTGGCAGGGTTTGAATTCAGCAAATGTAACACCCTGGCTTTGTGAATCAAACACTCCTAAACACCTAAAATACAAACCTGTCAAGTAAAGTTTATTTGGTCAGACCAGCTTGGCCATATTTACGTTCCTAAGTCAAATTAACGCTTCAAATGTAGGAAAAGACACTCCCAAAATAACTAACCTGTGTTGCAGGAACTGAATGGATATTTGCTTACACCTGACATTATGCAGCAGCATAAAATTTATCTTGCTCCTGATACAAAAACTGAGAACCAAAAGTTACTGTTCACAAGTAATTCAGTTGTTTGCAAGGCATCTTAAATGGGGGTACTGCTAGAAAAAGAAATTTATATAAAAATAGGTAACTTACACCAATATTTGTATTATAGACAATGATTTCCAGCACTGAGTTATCAGCAGTGGTATCCAGCTCTGTCAGATCATACAGAGAAGACTGAACAGGACCATAAGCCCAGTCTGTGAATTTTCTTGACAGGCTCCTGTTTGGCTTCTCTCTGATCTCTCTGCTCAGGATGTACTTCAGAATCTAAAACAGGAACAGATCATTTGTCAGCAGCTGTGTTGTTCATGGGAAAGGATAAAGCACATGAATATACTTGCCCAAACTCCCACCTTTTACCTATAACATTTTGTACAGTTGTGCAATTTCATGTATTTGTACTTGTAATATTCAGTGAGAGGTGCTGGAGATGAAAAATCTAAGAAATAAGTTCAGTGTTTTTAATGCCTTCAGATCTTCTGTCAGAGATTTTTTCTAAAGGATGAAAGCACAATTTTCCATGTGTTCATTTATGCCTTCCTTGAACTTAATTGCTTTCTAAATCATCCCATTCCCAATTCTTTACACTACCGTTGATTTATGCAAACCAAATCCTACAGCAGTGCAACAGAGCAGTTCTATTGAGCTTTCTGAAATTGTTTGGTGGTAAATGCAGAATTTCTGTACAACAGAAGGCTGGTTCTAAACAGCTTGTGTAGTTTGTACAGAGGAAGGGAGTTATAGAGAAACCTTGAAGCATAAAGACAACACTGCAATGGAAATATTTGTGTTTTGAACAAAATTAGCTCACCAAATACCAATACAACAGCATAACCAGCCTGGAAAGAGATGTGTCAGAGCACAAGTTTCTCTCAGATGCTACTGAAATCACACCCACCTCTAATTTCCCAGTTTTTGCAGCTAATTGCAGTGGTGTCAAACCCTCCTTATTCTTGGTTGTTTCCAGATTTCTGTCTTTACTTTTCAGCAGAATCATGTCGTACATTCTCATCACAAAGTCATTCTGTGTTTTGGAGTCCTCTGCCACAGTAACTAATGCATGGAGGATATTGTTTCCTCTGGAATCCTGAGAGGAAATATTGGTCCTGGCATTGTCCATTAACAGCTCAATTATGTCTGGCTGGTTGGTACATGCTGCTAAAGCCAGTGCAGTCTCACCTACACAATCATAAAATGCAACAAGTGCTCATGTTTTATTTCAAGCATTCAAATCACAATAGAAAATATTGTGTTAATCATCTTAATATGTGAGAGCACATTTATATATTGATTGTACTGGATTAAGCTCTTGTTTTATGGAAGTTTGGGGTATTCCTTTTTAACTTTTCCAGAAATATCTCAGTTCCAACTTACCAAAATAAAAGCCTTCATGCTTGTGTTTGGGATTAAAGAAAATACCCTGGGCATGAGCATTCACATCTGCTCCTTTTTCTATGAGGGTCTCAGTGATTTCATACTGTCTCCTCTCAATGGCAATATTTAGAGCTGTCTGGCCTGAAAAAGCAGATAGAGGAATTTAGAGCTGAGTCTCTCAAGCACACTCTGAAACATTAATGATGTTTCACAAAGGATGGCACCAGTGATCATGAATAAAAGTTGGTTCAAGGGATTTAAACCATGATTATTTTGTGGAGGTTATGTTTAACTGTTTACCTGAAACTGCTATCAGATGGCAATACCTTTATATGCTTCTTCTGTGTATGCTGCATTGATAAATCTCTCCAAAATGCCATTTTCCTCTGCAAAGGACAGGAGCATGTTCACTATCTCATTTGTGTTCTGGTTGATGTTCAGCAGAGCTTTCATCAGACAAGTCTTGCCAGTGTCTGAAGCTGTGAACTTTTTCATCAGGTAATCTATAAGAGTGAAATTTGAGATGAGATCATTGTTTTTTATTAAACTGCTGTTCATTAGGGGTGAAACCTGAGGGGTATAGGTGAACACAAACTATTTGCCAAACCACTACTCCATCCTGTTTGCTTTGTTCTCCAGCACCAAGGCAACCTTGGTTTTCCTGTTGGACATCTTGGTGCCATAATTCCCAAATTCACAGGGAAATAAATACATTTCTCAGATCTGGGCTGCACCTGAGCTGCCAGAAGAGCTGCCAGCCCTCCCACAGGTGCCTGCAAAGCTCACCTGGCACAGGCAGGTTGGTGCAGGCACTCGATCGCTCCTTCAGCTCTGCCAGCAGCCGCTGCAGTTCCTCCATGTTCCCCTCAGACACCGCCCGGAACAGGTTCCTCTTCAGCTTCTTCCTGGCACTCGTCAGCTCAGGGCCTTGGCATGTGTTAGCACTGAATTATAAGAAATCATCATGAAACTTCTGGTGCAATTTATCCTGGTTTATCTCATTTTTTTAAGAAGAGTAAAACCAAATACAATTATTTGCCCCAGACTACACGAACTTGCCCTGCTTCCATGGATAGCTCAGAATATTTCCCACATTGCTTATATGCAGGTAAATGAGCTTTTGAGAGGGTGCTTTACTATAAACAGCACATTTTTCAAGTATTTTGTGATTTTTCTCAGTTTATCCATTTGTCTGGAATAAAGCCCAAGAAACACTTCTTTGCTCTGCCACAACTGACTGCTGTGCTGAAGTTACCTGGTGCTGTTCTCACAGCAGAAGAGAGCTCTTAACCTCACATCTTACACCACTTTCTGATCATCCTTTATTCTGGAAAAAGAAAGATTTCATATTTCCCCCAAGCAGAAATACTCCATGCCTGATTGTGGCATGTAGGTCCTGCGTTGCCATCTAAAAAACACCCACTATATATAAAGAATCCTCACACTAAATATGAAAATTGAGGAATTAGAGTTGTTTATTTTAACATTTAACTTTTGAAGGATCAGAAAGGCATGCACACACATGACCTTTTTTTCTAGAACATAACAGGAAAAGTAGGTAATATCTACCCTACCACAGATTTAATCAGTTGAAAATGTTCTGAGAAATATTTGTGTCTCCACTCACCCACAAGTGTCGACGTTAGGGCTGTATTCAGTGGCATCATCCTGAATAGACTGTGGGGAATCCATGTCTTCCCCATTTCCAGATGCACTGCAGAGAAAGAAAAGCAGGTGTGCCAAGATATTAGCAAGGATTTTGGCAATTTGCATGAAGAAACAATCAATGGCAGGACAGAATATCTACACTAGAGCTTATATTAATCCAATTTGACTTTGGCCTTTTAATTCTATCATTTTATCTCCCACATGGATTTTAAAGTGGGTGATAAAAATGAAGAGACTTGCAGGATTTTATTATATTTTTTAAAAAGACCACATTAGGAAAGCAATCTGCTTTGTGTTTTATTATATTATTTCACTACAGATCCTGAAACCGTGGGAACTTTTTTTTTAATGATCACTGCTTTTATGCATCACCCTGAATGCTTGAAGCTTACATTCTTCCTTTTCTCATGCTTAATTTGTCATCTGGCACAAAACAAGTGCTAAATCTGTAGCAGTGAGTGGGTTGCAAGCCCACAATGAAAGATTTACCTAAAGATTTACTACACAGAACACTGTTGGAAATTCAGGAGTGTTTTGTGTCTGACATGAATGAGAGAAAATGAGGACTGGGCCCTAAATAGATATTTAGGTGATATATTCAAAAGATTTTCAATGGCATTGATATTTTGTAATTGCTGAACATAATTTCCACACAATCCTAAAACAGATCTGACTTAGAAAAATTAGGATAAATTAGTTCCTTACTTGTCTTTTTGCTTTCTCTAAGGTTCAGGTTGGATGAACTACCCCAGATTAATAATTTAGGGGAACCCTAGCTATTAATTATTGGCAAAACAGATGCATGGGCACCACTGCTCTTTGAAATAAAGCTGGGAGATCTGAGTCCATTCTTGTTCCATCTGTCTCATCTGCAGAAAGCTGAGTAATGGGGTGACAAAGCACAAGTGCAGGTCACTTCCTGAATGAGAAGGGGAACTGTGGACACCTCTCCTTTGAAACCAAAATCATCCTGTCAGCCAATTCCTAAAAGCTGACCGGGCATCCTCAGACACAAAAACCTTTGGCCATTCTGGACTAGTACCAGATTTGTGACATATTTCCCTTACTCATAATTATTGGCTGTTCGCACCCCCCACATTTTTTTAAAATTAAGTGTATTCTTCCCAGTCATAATTTCTCTCAATTCATTCAGCATAAATGGCTGCTTTAAATATTTCAGATTCAGCATTTCCACATTTGATTGTTAATGAGCAATAGAGGGAAGACGTCAGCAGCCAGCTGGGAACAGTTTGCTAAATTAGGCTGTGGTCTTCACACAGCAGAAAACACCCAAATGAGAGCATGGAGTTTGTTCTAATGCATCATAAATAAGAGGTTAAGAGTTTTAAAATATTGATTTTAAATTTATTCAGATCTGAGGCCTGATTTCTTCCATGGAAACAGCAGTAGATAAAACCAAAGATAAATCTCCAGTGAAGGTCTGTTTTTGAACTGACCAAAAGCTGTGAAAAGTCTTGTGAAATCCTGGCACTGAGGCCCAAGGAGAATTAAAGGGAAGCTGCTGGGAAGAAAATAGATATATTTGCAGCAGGACCATTGCTTGTGCATCTGTAACTTACCACGGGCGAATATTTGAATCCATCGGTTTGGAAAACACTGGGGGAGAGGTGTTATTGGGAGTGGCATTGCTTTCAAAACCATCAATCTCCAGGAAAAAGTGGGAACTGTTGAAGACAGTACATTTAAAAAAAATACCAGTGATAAAAGGCAAGCCCAACCATAAACCAAGAAAAGAACTACCAAGGGCAAGCTTGACAATTTATCTCTCCTGGCATTAAACCTGAGCTGGAGCAGAGGCTTATCTGCTTTCCCCTGAGGGGATCCCAACCTCCAGCCTGTGCCCAACTCTTCCAGGCTGGCAGATGGGCAAAATCCCAAGGTATTTTTAGAACACACGGCATCAGATCCTGACACATGTGAGCAGCAATCTCTAAACCAGCCTTGCACCCAACTCCTGTCACTGTCCAGCCACACAAAAATGCATTTTTTTTTGATCCCAGTCCCTGCTCTTCCAGCCAGGAGCCCTCAGGATGGATAATTTCAAACACATTAGCAGTGATAGTGATTAAATCAAAGTTTGAAAGGTCACTCGTTCAGTGACAGGCATTTCCACCAGCCAGAGCTGAATGTGTCCTCCTTCCTGCATGACATTTAACTTTTCCCTATAAATAATTATATAAATATTTATAGTGAAAAAGAAATAAAATTTGGAACAACACAGAAAAAGTGACACAAAAAGAAAGATTTCACCTTTTAAAAACCTGCAGGGTTGAGAGGCAAAAATCAGTGGCTTGGTTCTACTGGATCTCAGTAAAACATCGCTACAGCTCACCACAGGCAGAGGAGTTTCAGTGCTGGATGCAGCAACTCCCACAGGGGCTGTTGTTCAGCAGCTGCCTTACATTTCTAAAATGTTGCAGTAGTCACCTGGAAAACCTTTCCAATTCACCCAATATTTATGGGTTTGTCCAGAGGGCTTTTTTTTTCTAACTTCATCTTCCCCAGAAAATCTTGTTGAAGTGCTTACATTGATGGTAAAATGCAGAGTATTTTTAGGACACTGGTGAATAACCTGCTGATATTTGCTAAAAATAGCAGTATCTAATTCACCTTATTTTCCAATGGCTCGATGATCCAGGTGTTAACTCTGGAATCCAATAGCTGTGCAGGGAACCCTGCTGTGGGGGCTGACAGACCTCACCCCTCCTGCCTTGGGGCTTACCTGGGGGATCTCATGGGGAGGGGGAAAAAATCACCCCAAAAGCTACGGTACAAAGGAGGGTGCCATCAAATAGCCAGGGGCTGACGTGGCCAGGTGCTCTACCCACAGGCATCAGCAGGCTCTGACAGCCTCCTCCCCACCTGCCCCTCGGATTTCCTGTGCTTAATTACAGATTTAGTCCACCCACATTCCAGGAGCTTCCAGCAGGGAATGCCACTGTCCTTCAAAAAACTGAATATTGCCAATACACACTGAGAGTGAGAAATGCCACCCTAGGAGTGCTGGTGGGGAAGCGAAGGGAGAGTTTTGAAGGAACAGGATGAAGCAGCATTGGAACATATAATTAATAGAGTATGTTAAAGCCCTGCATTAAAATCCACGTAATCTCGGTGCTGTGTGTTACAGGAATGCTGTCAGCCACACCCTGAGTTCTGGCTTGAGAGGTGGGAAAAACCCCAAGGTTACTGTTCCTGAGGCCACAATGAATGGGAGATAGGAGTTAAGTAATTGAGGGTTTGGCTTTGGCAATATTCCTATAACTCGACAATCTGATATGGAATTGCCCCCTTTGTGAAGTGCCGGGATTATCATGAGCTGTTCAGACACCTTGTCTCCCCCCATACCCACCAAAGAGTTCCTCTTCTTGAATTTAATGACAAAAAGACAAAGTGGACCACCCAGGCAGTGGATCTCAAATAACTAATGGCACCATTCCTATGAAAAGTGATTCCTCTGATTATTGAGAATTAGAAATGTCAGAACAGCCACAATTGGCCAGGCCTTCAAGAGTTTCAGAAATTGCCATAATAACCAGTAATTATCCAAAATGAAAAGTGTATGAATGAAAATTCATCCTTTTTCTACGGTAATTTAGTTGACTTCATAGTATCAGGCAGGAATTACAGCTTACATTTTCCCATTCATATTAAATACAAACCTTCAACCCCTTTATTAATTCTCTAATATCAATTATGAATGAAAGTGAATATTTTATAAAGCAGCAAAAAAGTCTCATTAATCAGACTAATGAAAAATAGAGTGAATTTAAGTTTCTGTTTGTGATAGAATTTTTCAAACCTCCTGCTCTCCCAGCCCTCTGCCTCTCCATAATCTGTCACATTTCCATGTGAGGCTAAGTTTGAAATGCTCCCTTTCTTCAGGCCAACATCTCTTACATAAAACCTGGTGTGTTCTTCCATGTGATCTCTTAAAAAAAAGATCACCTTATACCAAACATTAACCATAAGATTCTTCTGAAGTTATAAAGATGTTGGTGGGATTTCAGTGCAAAGATCTCCTAAAGGAGATAAAGCAGGGAGTTTTAGTGGTTTAGACTGAGCTGGAGTCCTACCTTTTCTTGGTGGGAGTGCCTTCAGTCACCTTTTTCTCTTGCTGGTTTGCAGGGGGAATTCCAGGTGGGTTTGTTTTCTTGCCCATTAGTGGAACAATTTCGTTGTTATCTTTAATCATGTTTCTGCAGTAGAGAGACCTCAGTTACTTGACTCCTGTTTGAAGGAAGTGTGGCAACCAAATTACCTGTTTACAGTCTCTTCACGTGTAAACACAAATATTGATTCTTTTTTCCCCAAAGTTCCTCATTTTTCAGCTGTTAAGCACACACCCCCTCCATTTCATGCATCAGATCTGGAGGGTTACACACATAACTCATTAAATTTCAGTCTATGACAAGAGCCATTAAAAGTGGTACCAGGAGAACCATAAATTCAAGCCTAAATTAAACTGAAGGGAGCCTGTCAGTCACAGTGACTGTGTGTGTTATTTAGGGAAATAGAGCACAATGACTTTTATAAGTAGCTCTAAAGTTGAGCATCTTTTCAGTTAATCTGGGCAGTCTGCTCTTGGTCAAGATAATTTCAGAAAAGTGGTGAATTCCATGAAGATTTGTGCAACAGAAAATATATAAAGGAAGGTTCCAGATGTGAAAAGAACAAAGAAAAATCCCTGGAAGTTTTCACTGCATTGGAACAGTAGAAACAGCAGACTGAAAATTATGCCCAAAGTGAACTCAGCTAAATTGTCACATGGATAACATCCAGGAATTGTGTCCTGGTGATTTACCAACATTTCCTCAGGAAAAAGAAAAAAACAACATGATTCTGCTGGATGGAAATGACCACCAGCACATGACACAGAAGGATCTTGATGCATGTTACCTGCCTGGGAACACCCACAGCATGAATTCTGTAAGGAATAATGAATAACTATCTCCCCGTTTCTCAATCTAGTACTCAAGGACATAATTTTAAATGGCCCAGGATAATTTGAAAGCAAGAAGATGAATTCAGGACACATTAAAATTCACTGAATGTAAAACCAGGAAGATTTATGAGGTCAGGGATCCATTCCCAAGGAAATCAGGGGAGTAGCCTCTATACCCAAGGACAAATGGTAAAAATAATTTGCCTGCAAAGTCTGAAAAAAATCAACTACATATTTTCCCCCCTTCCTACTCCACTTTCCTTAATGTGACAAATTTGTGTACAAACACAAACTTTCTGCTCCTGTCACAGTACTGTTAGTGTGTCTTAGCACCAGGATTCCTTCATTATGGGAGTGTCAAGATACAGAATGCAGATTGTTTGAAAAGACATGACACCTGGTATGAGAGAGGAGCCAAGAATATCAAATACACTGGTATTTGAGGGAAAGTCTATTAATGCATAAACAACAACTGTTTAATTATGGCAATTTTCAAGTACAGAGGACTGAGAATTTACAGGGTCCAAACACTCCTGAGTGCAGCTGTAATCTCTTTGCACCCTATGAAATAGGAACTTGAAACATTGGAACTTACTTGGACTCCTTATCTTGCAAAGGCTGGCTGAAGAAACAGGCATGAAAATAACACCATCAGCAGGTGTGTTCACACTACATTCCTAGTTTGGATGAACTCCCTAAGAATTCATACCACAGCTTTCAAGAAATAATTTATAAAGGGAAAAGTATTTTTACTTGCCTACAAACTACATCACAGCTTTTAGTAAATGCAGAGAAGAGCTGAACTTGGAGATGACACGGTGGAAGTGGGATGAAGAGGTTTGTCTGTGCCACTGGAAATGCCACTCACATAGTCCCCAGACACATGTTGTGTCAGTGAATACACTGATAAACACTTGGTCTAAACACAGCTAAAACAAATGACTGTTGTCTTGTTTAGTTCACCAATAATTCTGTTATTTGCTTCTTGCCAAGTACTTAAAGAATACAAAACTGTGTGTAGGCAAAGACATCTCCCACCCCAAAGAAGAGGCAAATGGGATACTTGACATAAACCAAATAAGAGAGGACCATGGTGGTGATAGACATTAAATAGCTTCACAAAATAAGTGACTTGAAAGGAAAAGAATAGTTGGGAACAGATTGAAAAGTCCAAAAGTCAACGAAAGGAGTTGCCAAGTTGAGAAGGGCACAGCCAGGTGCGGTGTGAAGGCAGAGGGCTGGGAAAGAAGAATTAAGAGCTGGAGGAATAAAGATCAAGGTTAAATTCCAAATTCCTCTTGTTTGTGAGTGATGCTGGAGCTGCTCAGAGATGGCAACACCTTCCTGCAAGGACAGCAGCTCAAAGCTCCATTTACAGTCAGTTTTCACCACAGAGATTTCAGCAGTGACTGGAGAACAGGCTGCACCTCTGAGGAGAGGTGGGAAATAAACAGCACTGAAGCTGTACTGGATGATGATGGACTGCTGAACCATCAGTGATGTAAGGAAGTAATTTGGAAAGGAAAAAGAGGACAGATTTCCTTAAGTACAGAGGGAGTAGGCTTTCAAAAGCACAGAGACTGTATCCCTGTCAGAAAGTCGTTTAAAATGAGCTCTCAGCCTGCCCAAGTAAATAACTGCGGGCACCATAGCAGAAGTACCTTGTTACAGTGCTGAGGTAGCGTCTGCTTCATTTTTAATCACAATTAATTGTGTGCTGAGATGAAAACTAAGCTGGGCTTTCATCAGCAGCTTCCAGCACACCATCATTTTCTGTAATCTCTGACAAATAGAGGAAGCAGGTGACTGAAAAGTGTCAGATCCAAGCAGTGTAGTTTACGCAACCTGATACAGAATCTTGTCTTTGGTTGTAACTATTTTCTACTCCCATTATCTCCTTAATTGTCACTTACAGGCCGCCAGAGAAGTGGCTTATTTGAAGTGGCCGGCAAGATGAAAACCCTGCATTCATTTATAGTATTAAGAATTACTTTGAAAGGGATCTGAGGAGTTTGTATCTGACCTCCAGTGTGCTGGGGGTAGGAAAAGGGAATTTATCTGTGATGGTGAATGGGATTCTGCCATTCCTACACATTATCACAGACTCACCTTCTGCTTATCTGAGAACAAGAAAACTCATACATATCTGTATCTTTATATCTCAGTAACAGTTTGTATGAGGTAGCTAAAGAGAGAATCCTACAAATCAGAAGAAACACTCAGCTCTGATGCTGTGGCACAAAGGTCTCCCCTTCCCTGGGGCAGAGAAGGGGAAATGACTTCCAAGAGCTGTTTCATTCACAGGCTCCTCAGAACAGGCCATGACACTTTCCAGCACCTACGACCTAATTCTTACTGGCCCATAAAAAATAAATCCCCACTCTGAGGGGAAAGCTGATAAAACTTCATTCTGACTTTACTGCATTATTTATGAGTCATATCAACAGAAAGTTACACTTGGTAGGAAGAGCTTCACCTTCCAGTAAGGTTATTAAACTTTTGAGAGGGATTCATAGACTTCAGGTGCTACCAAAAATGCTCTTCTTGGTGAGAAATTTTTACTTTCCTATGAAGGTTTTTCCTAACAGAAATTAAAAAAAACCCTCTGAAAAGCAACTTTTTTCCCTGAGGAAAAATTATTTGAGATTATTTATCTGCCTATTTCTGAATTAAAAAGAATATTTAATAAAATATTATTTAAACACTTACATTAATAATGATTAAATTATATTAATTAAATAATAAAATGAATTATTTTAATAAAAATAAGTTTTTCTGAGTTGAAATAGCTTATTCTAGAACTTATATTTGACTTTCAGTGGTCACTACAGTAGCTGATACTTTTGTTGAAGATGATGAATGTATTAGCATTTTGCTTGTGTGATATTACATTTTGGATCCCCTTGGTAGAGGAATTAGGAAGTGCAACAGTGCTCCAGGCTGACAAACAAATTAAATTAGGCCTGTCCTTCTTCACTCCAGAATGCCCAAAGAAATAGCATGGCACAGCTCAGGAGAGCCATTTACAGACTAGAAAAACAGAAACAAGCACAACAGAAACACATTCTCTGTGTGAAGGATAGGTTTCACCTTTGTGCCTGGAAGATTTCCCTCTCTCCAGAAGCATCACACCCCAAACACCCCCAGAGCACTCACCCTGCTCACAACACCTCCATGTCGGCGTGGACGGACCTGGGTGGTGAAAATCAAAGCAAGGCCCCACTGACAACATCCAAAACTCATCTGCCGAAGGAACAAAACCACGTTTGGGCTCCAGACTATCCCAAAAACACAAAACCACCCTGCTCCAGGCATCCGGTGTGCTCAGCTGAGCAGCAGAGCCAGGGAAGTGCCGAGGAACCACAGCTGTACGGGGTTTGCTCCATCTGAAATTAGGGAGCAGGGAGAAACTGGCCAGGCAACAACTCTTGACTTCAGAGCTGCCAAAGTGGGATGACACACAGGCAATAATTACACGCTGCAGTGTTACTAAAGCTGAGTTGCCCAGAGGTGACTTCATGGCAGCAGTGGAGTATCTCAGGTGATCACTGCTCTGCAGTTTACTTGCTGTTTGCAAAGGAAAATGGTTATGCATCTGCATTTGGGTTGTAAATGACACCTTTATGTCATGCTCAGTTTATTACATAGCATGAACCTACTCAGAAGGCAGAAAGCAAAAAACAAGGAAATGATCCCAAGTGCTCCAGCAAGCAAAAATATTTGCTGTTACTTTGAAAATTTACAAACTACACTAGAAAATCTTACGCTTTCACAGTGCTGTCAGGGGAAAGGGGATGGGTGTGCTTAAGTTTTTCCCTACCTGTAAAAGTTTTTAATGAGTATGTCCCCACAGAGGCTGAGGGAACACAACCAGTTTGGTTTCACATCCCTATGACAGGTAATGGCTTTTCTCCTTTGCTGTTGAGCAATGGTGAATGCAGGATTCTGCTCTGGGACATACCAGAAGAGTGACCGTAAGTTCTTCTGGTCTTTTTATAGAATCTTTGCATTATCATCAGAAATAGGGTGTGAAAAACTCAAATGTCTTCACAGTCAAACCTGCAAGGTGTATTTACAGCTGCTGGTCTTGATTTAATTATTAGATAGGCATTTAAGAGGAACTATGTAGGCAGCAAAACAGGAATCTTTTTTTTAGCTGTAGGCAAGGGCAAAAAAAAAAAGTAAAGTCCACATGGTGTTTTTTGGTAGGAGGTAGATCAAAATTTGGAAGTAAAACCAAAATATCTTTG